AAAAAAAAAAAAAAAAAAAAAAACCAAAACAAAACAATCTATAATGCTTCCATAGAAATGTTTTCAGTTAAAAGCATATTTCCAAAAACTATTTATTACCATCGGGAATTTTAGTTGCATATGTTAAGTCAAAGGATGAGAGAGCCAGGCGTGGTGGCACACGTCTGTAGTCCCAGTGCTTGGAGGGCTGTGGCAGGAGGACCACAGAGTTTGGAGGCAGCCTGTGCTACACAGCAAGATCCTGTCCAAAAAAAAAAGGGAGCAGAAGCTGTACATTCTCCCAGCCGTTTCCTTTCTCTCTTGGAGCACAGTCAGCTGCGTGCTCCAGGGAAACGGCGCCAGGCCTGCTCTGGGAAGTGACTCATCAGCAGTGCACATGAATTTCCCCGGCTAGTGATGGGCCAGGGGTGGGCGTGTGAATCACTTCGGGCCAGTGAGCTGGGCAGAGAGGGAAGTCTTCCGGGGAGTTTTCCTCCACCTTCAAAAGACGCAGGAAACAGGTCCCTCCTCTCTATTAGACACGGGTGAGTCTGCATGGGTGTCTCCAGCCATGGTCACGGAGTTTGACTTGCAGTCAGGCCTGGGGCTCAGCTGCCGGACTGGAAAAGGAAGGAAAACGGAAAGATACTGGGATTGGTCTCCCTTCTGCGGGTCTGTCAGCACTGCAGTCGCTGACTCTGGGTCCGTGGCCCAAGTCAATTTGCCAAACGCCCATTAGCTGCAAGTTAGTTCCCCTGAAGGGCATTTTGCTGGATTTACCCATTGATTTTAACCAGACCAGTGGACTTTCTCACTTTGTCTTCATAGTAGCACTGAAGGGATACTAATATTGTCTCCAGCCCAGTTCTTTGTTGCTTGAACTGGAGATTGACTATTGATGAGTTGTCCAGATTAAGAAGTTACCATACCTCTGACCTTCCTATTAAGTGAGTGTCATGGCTGATACACTGTGGCAACTTGAGAACTTAAGAAGTTTAACTAAGGGACTCAGCAGAGGGCCAGGGGCCTTACTTTGTAGACATCCTGGTCCTATTCAAGAGGAGGGCAAGGAGATGGCGTGAGTGCTACCCGGGCAGTAGTGGGGCTGACCTGCTTACAGTGTAAGGGAGGAAAAGAAGCTTGCCCCACCCATTTTGCTCTTGTTGCTTTTGCTGTGTTCTGGCCTTGAAGTGTTGCCCTTGAGCTGTGCCCCGCTGCCTTGGAGCCAGAAGACTATGGACTGAAACCTGCACAGACTGTGAGCTAAATAAACCTTTCCTTCCTTAATTTTGGGCCTTAGGTACTTTGTCTCAGCAACAAGAGAAAAGAAACCAAGACAGTGAGCTAATTATTTCCTACCATTTAAAACAATTTGAGTCCAGTTGTTTCTTACTTATAACTCAAAAACTAGCAGTATACTAATAAGGTACGTGTAGGATGAGAGAAAGAGAAGGAGGGAGGGGGAGAGAGAGAGAGAGGTGGGAGAGAGAGAGGGCAGGAGAGTGACAGGGAAGGAGAAAATGAGCTCGGATTTGTAGAAGTGGGAATTTGGTTGACTTTTGCCCTCATATCCTTTGTATTTTTCTGTATTTTCTAAAACAAACATATTGTTATTATGGGTAAAGTGGAAAGGAAATCTTAAACACTAGGAAAACGTAGGGCAAATATGTAAGTGTTGTAAAACCTCAGGGTTGGAAGGTCTTTGGGAACTGGCACCTGCTCGGTGGAGTGGAGCGGGCGGCAGGGAGGCTTCCTTGGGAGAAGCAGCCTGTGATTCTAGGCGGGGAGCATGCAGAGGGCGGATGGGCAGAGTGGGGAGCCGGCTCCCTCCACCCATGGCTCCTGACTTGCTTGAGGCCCACAGACGAGCCTCCTTCATCAAATGTATCGTCTCTTCCACGCCTGGTGCTTTGCTAATCAACCTCCTTTGAGCGTCCCGAGAATCCTGGAACCAAGGGTTGTCTCTGTTTTTGCAGAGGTCGGAGCTGAAGCTCAGATTTGCAAGATACCAGGACTGATTTTAATGCAGATCTGACATTAGGTATGTGCAACACCCTCGCAGAGGGGCCGGCAGAGTGAAAATCATGCATGTGAGCAGGAAAGAGACCAGCCGGGCAGGTGCTCTTGTGACTGGGACAGAAGGGAAACGCAGAGTACCTCCATGAAAGCGGGCACACAGGGCAGCAGGTGGGCATCAAGGAAGGAGAAGAGGAGACCCGGGGAGGAGTGGACCAGGCTGATGGCCTGGGTGCAGGGCTGCGCCTGGACGGGCGGTACTGAGACATCTTCTTCCTAAAGACTCAGCATCCCAAGACTGCAAAGACCACGCAGAATCCGGCTCCCTGATGCTGTTGTCCATCCTCACGCTCTGCCTCAAAGCCTGAACTCTGAGAGCAGCAACTTTTCAGGGCAAAGTACAGTTAAGGTCAGTTTGGTCCAAAGATGCACACGAAGCTTTGTAGAAAAGACCAGTCTTGTGCCGTAATTTTGTTGTTTGCATATTGTTATTTGCCCTTAAAAAATTCCACATTGCTCAATAAATCTGGACACAACTCTTTATTCAAATAACTCTTTATTCCCACAGACAGAGGAACTTAACTCACACTTCCTGTCATCTAGCAGCAGAGAGCAATGACCGCAGGGTGACCTTTAAAATGTAAGGCTTTCATTAGCATTAACCTAAATGCTTGTCTTCCGGTTTGCAGCAGAATATTCACATCTCAGAATCTTCCAGTTGTACCATGACAGCAAGAGGGGAGCTTCTGATTTCCTCCCCCTTCTATTTAATCCTGAGATCGGGAGTTGGCACCGTTCTTGTGCAAAGGGCCAAATGGTTAGTATTTTTGGCTTTCTTAAATCAACTGTCTTGGAAAACCAAAAATAAATAAAATCAGTCTAAAATTGGTATCATTCTGTTACTTTCAAAAAAGGAATAATTTTAACAAGCCATGCACATTTTAAAAAGCTAATGTTAACAAAGTTATCTCAATAGAAAAATAGATGTTATGTTTTGAAGCCTTTCTTAATTTTAAAAGTAGGGGCCAGGGATACAGCTCAGTGGTGCAGCGCCTTCCTGGCAAGCACAAGGTCCAGAGTTTGATTCCTGGTACAACCTAAATAAATAAATAAATAAATAAATAAATAAATAAATAAATAAATAAAAGGTAAAATCAAGGAAAAGAGCAGTTCAATCTTTGATCATGTTACAAATTCAAAAATGTGAATAAAACACTTTCAAATTTTAGATGCATCTTAGAACTATTGTCTTAAAAGCATAGTGAGAAAATTGTGTAGAAGAATGAAAAGGTAGAAATACAGGTTTTTGACAGGAATGTTTGTATATTCTTCTAATCCCAGCACTCCAGGGGGCTGAGGCAGGAATATCACAAGTTTTATCCTTGGGCAATTTAGTGACTTAGCAAGACTCTGTCTCAGAAATTAAAAGAAGAGGTGGGGGGAGCCAGGTGTGGTGGTGCATACCTGTAATCCCAGCACTCGGGAGGCTGAGGCAGGAGGATTGTTGTGAGTTCGACACCAGCCTGGGCTACAAAGTGAGCTCAAGGCCAGCCTGATCTGCATAGCAATACCCTGCTTCAAAAAGACAAAAAAAAAAAAAAAAAAAAAAAAGAAGAGGTAGGGGAGACAGGTTGAGGATGTAGCTCAGTACTGAAGGCCTTGAGTTCAGTCCTTAGTACCAAAAAAACCCCACGTACAACAATACCCCCCCACACACAAGGTTTTCAAACTGTGCTCTCTGAACTGTTTTTTTTTTTTTTTTTTGGTTTTTCTCCGGTACCGGGAACCGAACTCACGAACTTGCGCTTGCCAGGCAGGCGCTTTTGCCGCTGAGCTAAATCCCCAGCCCCTTGAACTGTTTTTTGAGACAAGATCTTGCTATGAAGTTCAGGCTGGCCTTGAACTCACTATGTATTCCAGGTTGGCTTCAATCCTCCTGCCTCAGCCTCCTAAGTGCTGGAATTACAGCGGTGCACCACCATTCCTGGCCTTCAACCAATTCTTTCTGCATGTGACCCAAAAATCAAGAGTCTTCAAGCTACTCCACTATTTATTTAGTTTTTTGTTGTTGTTGAGACAGGGTCTCGATTTTAGCCCAGACTGGCCTTGAACTTACAGTATTTCTCCTGTCTCAATTTCTCCAGTGCTAGGATTACAGGTGTGGGCCTGTTTTATCCGTGGCATGCCATGGTTTTACAGTAATCTAATGATATAGTACATGCTTAATAAACATTAGCTGAATGAATGAATGAGTGAATGAATGAATGGCTACAGATTTAGGTTCCTGAAAGGGAAGAAGCAAAGAATCCAGGGCTGAGTGTCCTGTGAGCAGTGTGGCTGGGTCCGCCTCCTGCTCCAAAAGCCAGGCTTCTTTTTTTTTTTTTCCAGTACTCGGAATCGAACTCACGACCTCGTGCTTGCCAGGCAGGTGCTGTGCCACTGAGCTAAATCCCCAGCCTTTGGAAGCCAGGTTTCCCTTCCCCTGCCCACGCATCCTTTTGTTTTGACTTTTTTTTTATTGTGGCAAGATATAAAAACAGCATTTTGTAAGCGTGCAGTTCAGTGCTCTCAAATGCACTGTGCACTCTCACCACCATCTCTGGAGCCTGTCCTCTCCCACTGGGAACCTTGTACTCCTGAGACAGCAGCCCTCGGCGCTTCCTGTCCCTGGTCTCTGGCAAACCTCGTTCCGCCTCTCTGAGCTGGGCTGCTCCATGTAATTCACTCAGGAGTGTCCTTCTGTGTCTGTTATGTCACTTAGCATAATGTCTTCAAGAGGCATCTACACTGTAGACTATGTCAGTTTTCTTTGTTTTAAAGGCAGAGGGCTGGGGATATAGCTCAGTGGCACAAGTGTCTGCCTGGCAAGAGCAAGGTGCTGAGTTCGATTGCTGGTCCAAAAAAAAAGAAAAGAAAGGAAAATGCTAGATACCAGATGTAGTGGCACACACCTGTAATCCTAGCACTACAGGAGGCTGAGGCAGGAGGAACATTAGGAGTTGGAAGCCAGCCTGGGTCGCAAAGTGAGCTCCAGGCCAGCCTGAACTGCACAGTTGAGACCCTGTCTCAAAAAAGACCAAAACATAAAAAAATAATTTTAAAAAAGGCAGAATAAGATTCCATGATTTGCCACTGTGCGTATTTACCACACTTCATTTACCCATTCTTCCATCATTGGGTCTGTGAGTTGTGAATTACTCTGCTATAAAAAAACAGATGTACAAATACCTCCTTGAGTCCCTGCCTCCTAGTCCTTTGGGTAGAATTTCTGTTTTATTTTATTTTTTGTCTTTCTGAGACAGGGTCTCACTATCCAGTTCAAGCTGGCCTTGAGCTCACTTTGCTGGTCTTGAACTCACTTTGTAGCCTAAGGGGGCCTCAAACTCGCAGCGATCCTCCTGCCTCAGCCTTGGGAGTGCCGGGATTACAGGCCTGTGCCACCACACCTGGATAGCTGGGGTAGAATTTCTGAACCTAAGGTAATTCCATTTAACTTTTTAAACACCAGTCAGAGTGTTGTTTTACAACGATTGCACAATTTTACATTCCTACCGGCAGTGCCTAAGTGTGCTAGCTTTTCACGTTCCACATACTATTTTCTGTTTCTCCTATAATTACTTGGACTGATTTAGCTTTTTTCTTTTTTTTTTTTTAATTTACTTTTTGGCTGGGTGTAGGGTTGTACCCCTGTAATCCCAGCACTCGGGAGGCTGAGGCCAGAGGATCGTTGCAGTTCGAGGCCAGCCTGGGCTCCAAATTGAGATCATAGCCAGCCTGAACTGCACAGTAAGACTCTGTCTCAAAAAGACAAAAAAAATGACTTTTTATTAGTACATATTTGTAGTACACATTGATTACAACCATTGTGGGGAGTAGGCATACATTCATAATGTATCTTAATTTGTTTTATTCCCATTAACTGGGTGAGAAGATTAAAGTGGGATAAATACAGGAACCCAGGATATGAAAACAGCCAAAGCAGCTCAGACTGTCATGGAAGCGGCACTGGGCATTGCTGGACCACATCCTCTTCCAGTACTGCTGCAGTGGGGTCTCAGTGCCCTAAAATGCACATAGAGGGATCACATGGCATGTGTCAGATATGTTTCAGGTTTAGTCTTTTTCTTTGGAGTCATGAGTTTAAGGAACAGCAACATGCATGGAATTTACTGTGCCTGGTGCAGGCAGACAGGGTGACAAGGCCATCTTCAGGGAGCAAGGAGAAGCAGGCCTTTTTCATAGGGCTTGAAGGAAGGCGAGGGCCGGGCTTGGTGGCACACACCTGTAATCCCAGCACTCACGAGGCTGAAGCAGGAGAATCGTTGCAAGTTCAAGACCAGCCTAGGCTACATATGTGAGCTCAAGGCCAGCCTGAACTGCACAGCAAGACCTTGTCTCAAAAAGACACACACACAAAAAAAAAAAAGAAGAAGGAAGGCAAGGGACATTAGGCAGGAAGATCTCTCTTAATAAACATCAGTGCTCAAAGCTATCTGGATGTTTCATTCTTCAGTGGGATCTGGTGTGGATGTTTGGGTGTCTTCACGTGTCCCAGCGTTTTGGGAGATTTTCTGCTCCATCTTACCTCTTTTATGACATCGTGTTTGCCGAGGGCATGGATGCTGAGTTGAGAACAATGCCTCTGCTGGTAGACAGGTTGGTGGTTGGGAGAGTCATGTCCAAATGGAGCCTTACAATAAATAGAGTTTTTGAGTGAAACCACTTTATAAAAAGCCCCTTGGATACAACGTTAACCAAACCATTTCTTCCGGACTCCAAGATGGAGGGAATATTTCCCAAAGTGTCCTTTGGCATCCTAAATATATACAGCAATTTAAGAACATAAAATAAAATTTTAAAAAATTCAGAAAAACAACAGAAGTCGGTGTTGTTAGATCAAGAATGTCATCATGCCTTGTACTGTGACTACTCTATTTCTCCAAAATAAATGGAAGCCTCACAATGCCTGGCGAGCTCGGGGCCCTTTTCCACGGCCTCCCTGCCGCAGCTGCAGCTCTCCCTTGGGCTTCCAGTCCCTCATCACCTGCCTCCTCCCACACCAGAAGGGAGCAGTAATTGTAGCTGAACACTGCACCTCGCCGGTGTTCCTCTCTGCGGAAGGGGCAGCTTCCTGCAGCCGCAGTGTGGCTGGTCAGATCCCACGGGGGTCTTCCGGAGCAGGTGCTCTGAGCTCTCTGAGCTCTCTGTGCTTTAGCTCCCTGCAGGTCGTGCAAGCAGGACAGCCTCGGCTCTTGCCACACACAAGTGCCAGCTGCAGTGGCTGGTTTGCAGGCTCTTTAACCTGCTGTCCTCTGGAAGTGCTGGGGCTTTTCCTTTCCTTGGTTACCAGCTTGGACACACATTTCCTGAAAGATAATTTTTTGAGATTCTATTTTTGTTGGTACCAGGAATTGAACTCAGGACCTCAAGCTTGCCAGGCAGGTGCTGTGCTGCTGAGCTATATCCCCGGCTCTCGAGATTCTGGTTTGTTCTTTTCTTTTTTTTGTCTTTTTGAGACAGGGTCTCACTATGCAGTTCAGGCT